AAAGCCAAGTAGTATGACAGGTTTCTAAGAGTAAATGTGATTTAGCTGTTAACAAGGGAGAAGCTTCAGAAGCACCAAAGCAATCAGATACTGGGCCTATGTTTTCCAACAAACCGAATTTGACCTCTGGTTTTGTATTCATATGGACACTTAAATGATGTTCCAGTGAGGTAACCCTTGGATAAGGTGCTGGGATTTTGAAGCATGCATAGTGATAAAAAATGGGCATACAGGTTTTAAAGCAGAACTTGGTATGTGCAGTGAAGATTCTACGTACATGATTTTGAAAATTTAGCTGTGTAGTGAAATAGCCTACGGATTCATGACATAAATAGAGAAATTATGCTGCTTTCAAACATGTGGAAGACTTTGCCTTGTAATTTAAAAATGTTAATAAGTTTAGTTTAAGATCATTCAGATGTGTCTTTCTAACAGTCACAGCGAATCTGATTAGTTACAGCAGATATTTTCCTGGCAAAATCATATCAAACAAGTTTGCCAGTAGGTAGCTCTACAAACATCCTGAAGCTCTCAATTTCTAGAAAATGTAGACAGCTCTCCCTGAAACATCAGTGAAAGAGTGCTGTCTCATCAAACAGGGTACATTGAAAGGGACCAGGGGTCTACCTATGCTTCTAGTACTCTTTGTATTGTTTTTCATATATACATATCCTCCTTTTTTTATCCTGACATTTTTGCATGATGGCTCATTGTTTTTAAGTTATTCCCCTAGAAGATGAATGATCCAGAAGTGCGGAACGGCAGGACATGCCAAGATATAAATGAATAGAGCACGGTTTTACATGAAAGGGCTTCTGCCAGGTTTTCTACTGAAGTGTGCAAATTTAAATCTGTGGATCAATGCCCTGCTCTCTGCACACTCACTGTTGGGTCACAACATACTGACAGTGACAAACTCCCGAGCGGACAAGCCCACTTAAAAATACTGTATGGAGGCACTCAGCAATAAAGGACAATTGCCTTCACATCCAAGAACTACCAAGGACTTTTGAAGACTGATCACCAATATGGAATATCATTTTAAATACATACCATACATCCTAATGCTGTTGCCATGCTGAATTGCCAAAATTGTCTCTGGTACAGGGAGTGATGTAACATTACTTTTGCCCTCCATTATAGTTTCTGTAGAATTATTCCCAGCAAGAGTAATTTGTGTGAGCTCCTCCACTGCAATTAACTTGCTCACAACTAGCTTTAGCTCTCCAAGATATTGTGTACATATATCTGACATTGGAAAGCTTGTAGCAGCTGGCATTACACTGGCAGTTTCCTCAGCAATATCAAAATATTCAAGCTGCATGATGCAATTACCAGAAGCAGTGGGAGAATATTTTATTTCTTCAGTCTGAGGCTTTTTTATGGTCTTTTAGCTAGTGGCTCACTGTTATGTCATTCACTTCATGAAGAACAACACTGTTATATGGATGGCTTACTTCTAAATTTTCTTTGAGGAAAAACTTCCATGGCTCTAAAGTCTCTAACCATCCGACTGATAGTCTGTTTTTCCAGTGCCCATGCTATATGCAGAAGAGAACTGATGGTTGTAGACCTGCTTTAAGATGAGTCATTACTTGTTTACTTTTTCTTTAATAGTTTTGCCCAAATTTCACTGTTTATATCTACTGCTCAGTTACAGATTCTTGCCTAGTTTTCCTGATGTTCTTAATTTTAAATCTCTTACAGCATTACAGCTCTCCAGATTTTTACCTGTTACCATCTGTTGATTTTTTACCCAAATATTATTCATCTGTTTTCTAATCTGAATCTCATTGCAATATTCTACCTGTGTTTCTAATTTTCCTGTGAACCCTTGAATTATTTCTCCATTTTCAGCAGTGTGCTCAGCTCCTCCTAGTTTAATAGATCTGCAGATTTCATTAATGTACCATTTACTCCCTCTTCTAGTTCATTATTGAAGCTATTAAATGAGATCAGAAGTAATACTAATCTTTGTGTACTGCACTAAATACGTCCCTTCAAAGTTATTGTTTATCATTACCCTTTATTGTTTGTCATCACCCTTCATTTCAGTCAACATGATAGTTCATTTCCAATTTGATTTAAGTTTGGGAACAGAATTTTGACACATTGGAGATGGGAGAAGAAAGGCTAATCGACAATCCAGCAGAGGCTTCTAATTAAGACTCAGTTTAGAGGATCAAAGTTAGAAGTCCTCTGCTGCAGCCACAGAACGGAAGATGGAAACTGTCTCCATAACTTAATTGAGAACACCTTAAGCTCAGTGCTAAAATATCCTAAAGAAAACAGTATACTGCTGAAATTCAGGCATATGACAGTATAGCTTCTGCTCTCTATTCATTAATTTTGTATTATTATTAAAAAATCAAGTTTGTCTGGCAGACTTCAAAGTGTTTTAGTAAATTTGTTTTCTCAACAGCAGCTCCATTATGTTGCCAGGGAGGGAAGCTAAATTAATGAGAAGCAATTACAAAGAGAAGTCTCAGAAGATATGAACTTCTATCTTTGGTCATTTCAGAAACATAGAGTCTTGCTTCCAAAGAAGCTATATCTTTCTGCTGTTCCTTGCACAGTGTAAAATTTCAGGAACAAGATTTTAATTTTCACCACCCCTTTAAAGTTCATTTTCTAAACTCTGTAGTAAATACTATTAAACATATTTATGATACATAATTAGGAAACATCAATTCAGTGAGGAAAATCTCCTTTTCTCAAGATACAATTCCTCTGATAATAATTAACCCCCATGACTTAAAATCCAACACAAAGCCTATTCATCTTTCACCTTAATAAAATATCTAGCATTTTGTAAAGTTAGGTTGCCAACCCTTATCATCAGGGCCAATTACTCCTGCTCTTCACTGAAGTGCCAAAAAAATCTTTGTTCAAATACATTTGAACACCCAGGAACTGCTTGTTTTTTTATTACGAGTACTTGGCTTGAGCTCATTTGGTTACATATAGTCTGTGTCAGTGCAAATGTGAAGACCTTAAACCTAGTCTGGAAAAACTGACTCTAGATAGAACTTACAGGTCTCAAAGTTTTATACTTACATGTCATGAACAAAACAATGGGAAAGTGAAATACTGAAATCCAGATTGGGGCCAGGTTATTTGTTGGATGTAGGGGAAGTTGTCAGAAGGTGGGTGCATCCTAGAGGCCATCACATGCAGTGGGTCTAGTGGAAATATAATTGCAACTCCCTCTACTGCAGTAAGGAGCAGGTTCATGAATTTAGAAATACAACCAGAAGTGGGATCAAAAATGTAGAAATTAGGTTGCCGGAAAAGTTTGAGCTTAGTTGCTATAAGTGCAGCTTCTCTGAATTTTGAAGCTCTGCATCTTTCAGTATCTGCCTACTTATCTGACATAACCTGCTATCTCATTACTGTGAATCTGCCTTAACCTCTGAGGCAAATTTTGTTCACTCTTCCCCAGACTGCTTATGGAATATTTTCCTCCTACTCAATCTCTCCTAAAGCCCATCTCTGTCTCTGTTGATTCCTAATAGGGAATCAGCAGTGACACTTTTTAGCCTTGTTTTTATGGTTAAGCATTTTTATAAAACTTTTTATTGGATTTTTATTGCTACTCTCTCCTTTCTGCCCCTCTCCCCCCTATTATTGAGTTACATGTTTATTATATCTATTGTGAAATTGAATTGTATTATTCTGTGGGAAAAGATTAAATGTCACATTTTCAAAGATGCCTAGTAACATTTAATGATGTAAAAAATGAACATTATTACTCTGGTTCATTAATACTTATTGATCATGATTTAAGGTGGCTCTGATGAGTTTTACTGTTAACTGTCCTTACCTTGCAGATGAAACCAGAAAACATTAACTAGTTCATTGCATTGATTTTTTTGTCATATGTATAATACGTGTGAAGGATATGTATGTTTGTCTAGACCGTGTGTATGTTTGTCTAGACCATGTGTCAGCATGTGTTTTGGGAATAAGTTAGTATGTTGTACCTCATTTCCCTCTTTGTTCCTTTGTATTCAAGGTGCTTTTACCTTTCCTTTGAAAGACACTTGAGGAAATACTTGCCTGCTGTGAAAGCCTGATTTATTTTGCATTGCATCTGCACTGTCTGGTTCTGCAATGTGCATTTTGGAATTAAATCAGCTTCTCTGCATCTGTACAAAGAATTTTTTTCCTTAAGAAGTTGACTCTTTTATTGTGCATTTCTGCCAAAAGTATGTGCATTGACTTTATTAGTGGCTTTTCTGTGTATGTTAAGGTTTCTTTTTCATTATCAAAGAAAGTGTCAGTTACATGTAAAATGCTTTGCGGACATAGGTCCTCACCCAGAAAGATTTCAAAATCAAGAAGGTGCAAGTGGAGTAAAGAATAAAAAATACTAGTGGTCATACATTACAGCCTGCAGTCCAATAGGTGCAGATACTGACCTTGGCAAAAGCAGTGCGAATCTAGTGATATAATAATTGGGGGGAAAGCTCCAGTAAGTAAAAAAAAAAAAAAAAAAAGAAAAATTGCAGTAGTGCCATCTAGTGTGCCAGGTGTTGCAGTTTTCTGGGAGGGGACAGTAAGCTACTTGCAACCCATCTCACTTGTTACCTGACTCCTCCTGCTGCTGCTCCCTTTTCAGCCCGCTGACAGGAGAGCAGTAACAGCATTGACAGAAGGTAGAGGAAGAGACCTGAGGGCTGTTTTGCAGATGCTGATTCTGGCACACATGCCATAAGGTTGTCATTGCTGCTCTAAAAAAATGAGCATCCACGGGGTTTTAAAGAAGGAGAAAGATGGCTGTTCTCTCTGTACTCCCATACAAATCTTCTACTCATTCGTTTCCCCTGCAAAACATGTAATGGCTAAAACATCCTTTCTCAGCCACTGCAGGCAAGTTTTTTTGGTGTTGGGAAGAAAAAGAAAAATAATTTTGATGCCAGAAAAGAAGAGGTGTTGCTGGATTTTGAAGCTTACTGGAAGAGGAGGAAATTACTTTTTGCCTGGTGACTAAAGGAATTATGTTGAGTAGAGGGCCCACAAAGTCCTCTGTGTGGGAGGTAGGAGGTGAGAGGGAAGTGAAGGGAAACAGAGTTCTGTTCTGTGTACTAATGCTTTGTACTAGGAGGAGCCCCTTTACCGTGACCACCCTGGGCTTTTCCACTGCTACCTTTTCCACTTTCACTAATAACAGACTGAACCTCTCTGCTTTAATCCTGAGATATGCAAAGTGCATGGCTTACCCTTCAGTGTGTGAAGCTGCACAGGGTTTATTTTTGTCTTCAGTTTAGAATCTGCTTGTAAAAAGTGGAAGAGCGATCAAGCCAGAAAGCGTTGTCTGCAAATGAAGCCAGCATCTCCACAGCACACATAATGCTGTGTATTCACCTGTCCTCTTCAACTGGTGCCAGAGGATATTGCTTTTCCAGTTGGATTTGCTTAGGGTGCAGCTACAGCAGCATATCAAATTGAAGGTGTCAATTTTTAGCTGTCAAAGTGTTGAGGACGTTTCAAGTGAACGAAAAGTCTAGACCCAGGAAGGAGAGTGTTTGATCTTTGCCTCGTTATGTAGACACTACACCTGATGCAAATCATGTAGCATTTCTGTTTAAACGCTTCTCACTTGAGCAGTAAGAAGAGTGTAAAGGATGTTTCAAATCTCAGAAATGTGGCTAGGTAGCGGAAATGGAGGAGAAACCCTTCACTAGCTAGTGAAAGTGGGGTGGAAAAAAGCAGATATAAGTAATTTTTCAACTATTTCTTGCATATTTCCTTTCTGTAGAGCTAATTTAAGTAAATTACTATTGGCTATTCTGAGACTGGACAGGAGAATTGCCTCATCAGACATTGGTACTCACAGGAAATCTTTGGTTAGAAACTCATCTCCAAAGATTATGAAAAACAATGAACTGAGAGGTTAACAGTTGGATCTGTGGAAATCATCCCCCAGGGACATGTGTCATGTTCCCAACTGAATAGAGGGGTTGATAAAGTGATTTGTCCAGCAGAATATGAAAAGGTGCTGCAGGTTAGGGAATGTAAACACATAAATATGTAAACACAGGGACACTCACAGCCATAACCCCTCCAAACTTTATCCTTTCATAAATGTGTCTTTAGAAATCTTCAAAATACATATAGACCTGATTTTCTCATATTATGCCCTGCAGCATACAGGCACTTAAATCCCATTGATTTCCGTACCTAAATGGGAGTTGTAGATCCTAAATTGTCTTTGAGGATGTAGCCTTTAGTTCTTGGTTATTGCTGAAATTGAGAGTACTTGCCAATGCTCAGTACCTTTTAACGAGCTCAGTTCACCTAATAGACTGCACAGCTCGCTGTTCCCAGGGAATCAATATTCTGGGCCAGATTCTAACTGGAGTCCTGCAATTCACACAGCTCTACTAACTAATTTTTAAAATATGAATTGTGTGTGCATACAGAATGACATTATAATTTCCTGCCTTTTGAGTGGCTAGATGTGCAACTTTAATGTTCTCTTAATGTATTTTTAATGAGCTTTCTTAAGGCTTCTGAGTGGGAAAAAACGTTAAAAAAAAATCTATAATATGGTCTAGACACTACTCAAATGACCCTTTTCTTGCAGAAGTAAGAAACTCAACAGGGAATTCCTTCTCCTGAAAGCTTTGGAGGCTGTGCAGCTTCCGACTTAGAGGCAGCATGATTGAAGCAATAGTTCTTGTAGAGTCCAAACTCAGTTGTTGCACATATCGCAAGATACGCAGTGGATGAGGCAAGGGCTGACAGGCTACTTTATTTTTTTTACTGTAAGCTATGTATTTATGCACAGCACAACCTTCTCCACTCTGTATATTTCAAAGCGCTAAAAAATCATACCAATTGTACTCTGCATGCTCAAAGTGCAGATTTCAAAGGTTCATGACTCAGTCAAATCAAAATCAATTTGCACCAGAACACTCAAAAGCACTTCTTCTTACTGAGGGCCATTTCTATGCTAAATTTCAACTCTCTGCTTGATTTTTTTTTTTTTTTGAGAGAGAGGGAAAAGTTGCAAAAAATTCTTATCATGTTAAAAGTGGGGTTTTTTCCACTTCTTTCATATGCCAAATAGTCAAACTGCATTAACAAAATTTCACTTTTTGGTCAGAGACCAGATCAAGAAAATTTCACTCCAAGAGGTGAAAACGCAACTGAATTAGAAGAAAAGTGTACTCGGAAAAGTGCCTGAAAACTTGCACACTCTGATCTGTAATATTCCTGCTTTACTAGCTGCACTTAAATGGAAAAGCATTCTATTTTGTTCTGCTGTAATAATTGCAGAGAATGGGGAACATGTATCATAATTTATATTATGAATTTGATGGCATCGTGCTGATTTCGTATCTAAGTCTCACCTAAGTGTTTTAAATGTAAAATCAGTTCCTTATCACTGCTCTTTCCTGACCCCAAAGCACACTAAAACTCCGGTTATGTCTACACTATGAAGTGCTGTGTAACATGGAGGTTTCTGAGCATACTTAGAGGTGCAAGCTTGGTTCATTGAAGCAGAGAGAGCTCTGTGCAGACTAATTGTGGCTCAGCAGGATGTGTTAGTGTATGTAGAGCTTTCTGTTGCCTTCCTACTCTATTTAGGTAGCTCAGATACTCAGGGCTGTACAGAGAGGCTCTTCAAACAGTATGAGGAATGCTTGAAAGTGGGTCTGTTTGCTACAGCCCCAGTCAGGGTTTTGTAGTGGCTAATGTCCATTGGAGTAGTACTGTATACTCCGCTGAAAACCAAATGCCTTTCCCCCTCCCTCCCATCTCCTTTGCTGGAGGAAGGCAGGCAGGTACTAAGAAATCATTCAGCATCTGCTCTAGATGATGGTTCTTAAATGAAGCTGTGTTAGCTGCCCGTTATGGCAGATTTTGGCTTTCCTTAACTCCAACCATAGTGAAAAAAGGAGCTGTGTCATAATGATATGGTGCAAAAAGCCTACTCTGAGAGGCTTCTAAATTCTAGGTACCACCAAAGAATTACTGTTATTTTTTATTTTCTGCACTTCTCTCAAATGACTATTTATTTCAGTAGTCATGTTTGAAGTCAGATGCAGGATATAGAAAACTTTTAGTACTGTATTTTTCCAAGGAGCATACAGAGAGAGCACAAAGTCTGTGATAAATTCTGAGATTAAGAGAAACTCAAACTGTCTGGATCTAAAATGTGACCTACTTTGAAGGTTGTCCCATGTAAAATTTAATTTACTGACCAACCAAATGTAGATGTATCAGTGTTCGTGTGCTGCGATAAAATTCTGTAAAGATCATGAAATGTGACAATGATCTTTGAAAAGCTAGGTTATAGAAATGATATTACAGATTTTAGTAACGATTTAAATTAAGTGTCTTCAATATGCTTAACCTTGCATTAAACTTAGATTTAATAAGACAGATGTGTATTAAGTACTGAATATACTTAAGGGAGCAATCTTGCGTTGGCAGGGGATGGACTCAATGACCTCCTAATAGTTCTCCTCCATCTCTAATTTCTATGATACTAATTGATTATTAAAACACTTTTATTGAGGATTGATATGTAGCTATTATATAGGTATTAATCTTACAACCCAACTGATATTTAATTTATACATAATTTTAACACACAATGTCATTTTAGTTTTTAAAGAGTAATCCTGGAACCGTGCATTCACTGGGACTCTGAAAAATCTAGGTGGTAAATGAGGTTGGCCATTTTGAGGTTAATTGCAATTTTATGATTAAATCACACTTTGCAGGGTTTTATGGAATACAGTAAGTTTACAGAGCTCTCCACATAAAAAAATGAAATATTTTTCTCATCTACAGCATTGCTCTGGAAAGACAAAGAAACTTGTAATGAAAAAAGCTGCATTTATTTGGATTAAATACTATATGTTGTTAAATGTCAGACAAAAACTAAATTTTGAATATTTTAAAGGTAATCTGTTCATCTCAATTTTGGAATTGTGAAGAAATTTCCCAAAACTCTGAAAGTTTAGGGAAAATGATGCAGTGGTTTTGAGCATTCAAAATTCATTTCTGTGAATGTCTGGCTAAACAAAAAGTAGAAGTTTTGCAGAGTCATGTTATTAATTCAACTTGTATATGCCTAGGGCCGTGGCTCATAATGGCATTCCTTTCTTTTTAACAAACTGTCAAGCTTTTCAAAGGACATCCTGAAAGCCATAAGTGCCTATTTGTTGGATGTATTTCTCATACCCTAAAGGCTTTCTTTGATACGGACTGATCTTTTACATTTATGGATGGAAGTTGCATTAGAAAATGCCCTTTGTGAAAACCTATAATATCTCAAGAGTGGCAAACATCTGAGTTTTGGCTAAGGAACTATGAAGAGTGTTACAACTCTGAATGTTTTTTTAAAACTGGATTTTCAAATTGTTAGTAGCAAGTAAAAATATGAATAAATGCAAAACCTAATGCAAATATGTATTAATACTTGAAAGTTCCTAGTTACTTTAAATAAAGTAAGGAGCAGGGAGGGAATACTGCACATTTTGCCTATGGGATTTTAAGGTTTTGTGCCTACTTTGTGATAAATATTTACATGCAACATATGTCTTTTGATGTCAAAAGTGTAACGACCAAGTTTTGTTCTTCAAGCAGAAGGCTGGAATGCAGATGGAAAGGGCCCTAATGTCTGGGACATATTCACCCATCAGGGAAGAGATCGAGTTTTCAAGAACCAGACTGGTGATGTAGCTTGTGGCAGCTACACTCTGTGGGAGGAAGATTTGAAATGTATCAAACAGCTTGGATTGACTCATTATCGCTTTTCTCTTTCCTGGTCACGTCTGTTACCTGATGGGACGACAGGTTTCATCAACCAGAAAGGCAATTGTTTCTTAAAAATAGAAGGTTGCAGCTTTAATTCAAGGTTATTGCTGCAGTCTGGCATAATTAATCCAGTATGCTATTCTGCAGTGTAGCTCTGAAATTGCAACTTTTTTTCAGAGTAATTATGGGATGATTTTTTTATAGGTTTGCAACAACTTACTAATTAATATTGTAGATCCCCTTGGATAGCACAATCTTTTGGGATAGGATTATTATTATGTTTCCTATGTATCTTTTTGCTTACTCTAGTTTTTTTAATTGTAACTCTAAATCATTTTGCTTCATCAGAATGTTTATACTTACAGGGATCCTAGCCATGAGAATATTTTTGGATGACTTACAATAGACAAGTTATCTTATTTGGCAAGTGCATTTAGATAGCTTATCAGTATACTCTAATGTACTGAACTTCACATTGATTATTTTGCACTGAGGGACATACTTTTCCCAGACATTTTTCTTCAGCAAATTAGAGAGGATTCTTCAGACTCAGATAGGAACTTAGTTCTCTGACAAACAGAAGCCAGACCCTGCTCTAAAGGGTTTTCACTCAGCAGGCAGTGTAAATATGTAAAGGGATACAGCCCATAAATAAGCTGGTCAGATTGCTAGAAGTCAGATATAAAATTTGCTTCACTTCTGATTCATTTATTTTACTTCCATTGGTGGTGACTGGGGGAGATATTAAGGTCACTCACTAGGAAAAGACAGGAAAGAGCAGTTGTTCCTACAGAATGCAGGGAATGGAAGAAAGAAGAAATAAAGAGAATTGTGAAGAATAAAAGCAACTGAAGCTGAACCAGCTAGGATGTGAGAATCAAAGTAGTTGGCTGAGGTCTCTTGTATGCTGGGAGGATAATGTTCCGAGGAGAAAAAAAGCAAGGTAAATTTGGATGAACCTCTGAATCTCACTCCTGCCTCCTACTCTTCCGCATCTCAGTTCTACAAAGAAGATATATATCGTTGTACTTCTAGGGTAGTATTTGCATTGGAAATTCTTTTCATTTCCTGTTTTGAAGATTACAGAGATGGAAGGCTACAAGGGATAGGACTTCTTAGCAAATGCTCTTCAGTTTATCCTTATCTGTACTAGGTGGATACTAGCAGAAGCAATATTTTCCTCCAGAATTTTGGTCATGTAGAGCTTGGCTGTTCAGTAGACAGCAGCCTATCCTCTGCATCCTGCAGATTAAGGTTTTCACCAGAGAGTGGAGGAGCCTTTGTTTCAAGATTTCAGAAAGGGGGGCTGGTAAATCTGCTGTAAACAGACCAACCAGCCATTTTTCCCTGCAGAGCCTGATTGCAAAAACCGTGCCAGTATCCCAGAGAGGCTTGAATGGAAGCCTTTTCTTTGCCACCAAAATTTACAATATGTGGCCTGCTTTCACTGGCACAGCTTGCCTTTCCCTAGGAATGTTTTTGTGGTGTGTTGAATTTAAATTTGGCTGAATCGTTGTGGTTTCTTTGCTGTACCGATATTCCTTCAGCTGGGGCTGCAGGCACTGTAAAACCCCACCGAGCTCCTGACTGAATGGGCTTTGTTACTTAGTTGTCAGAGTGGGAGATAGCAAGCAGACATTCTGAATGCACTTGGTAAGGAAAGCTAACATTTTGACAAAACTCAGCTTTAATTTCAGAAAATGTTCACTTGATCCCCAGTATAAGCAGTTGCCTGATTAATATTATGAACTTTACATTTAACGAAAGGGCATTGGCGGAACTCCAAGTAGGCCAGCTTTCATTAAGCAGGAGTTCACTTCTCTTGTGCAGTGATCTGTTGAAGCAATTGTAACTGCATAGCATGGAAAGGCCATCATCTTCTATATAAACATTTTTACAAAGAGCATGTGAAAAATTAGAAAGCTTAAAGCTATGTCCTTTCAAATAAAATCATTCACACCAACTGAATCACTACCAATTTCACACCTAAGATGTAGGACATTTGAAAACCTTTAAAACCACTGTTTCTAAGTTAGTGGAGGTAGGGTCTTTTAAAGCAGTGATCTTGTAGATGTATTGTTCCTAAGGCATGTCAGGTTTTAGGTTCAAGTTTACGCCAAGTTTTAAAAGTATTTCTGTACAATTATTTTTACCTTAAAAGGTGCTCAGTGCAGAACAAGCGAGCTGCTAAACATCCCAGCTAAACAGCTGCTAAACATTAGGGATTGGTGCAGAAGAAGACAGAAGTTGTAGACATGGGGGTATGTGAGAATTTGATGTTTTACCTCACTTCAGCATGAAGCTGGGGAATCAGGATGGGGAGAGAAGACAACAGAAAGGAGAAAAGAACATCCTTCACTTTCCAGTGACAAAGTGGTCCTTAATATCTCTAATCCCAAAATTTTGCAATATCTCCTCAAAACCCTTATAAATACACTTCCTCTGAAAAATGTTTTCTTCTGTATTTCTGCTTCTACCTGACCTGCAGATACAGGCCGAGAAACTAGATCAGCCTACTCTGGAAGGTATGAGACAACCTGGAAAATTGACTTGACATTCACATTTTTCAGAGATGCAGTTCTATTTCTCTTCATTTCCTATCAAAAGCATAAATCTTTTTCAATATTGGTGTTTAATTGAGGTGTAAAAAATAAATGATAGCTAGTTGCACTTAAATGTTATAAATTGTACTGGATAATTTATAATCTGAAAATTAGAATGAGAAATGCTAGTGTCCTCTAGGTAAGGATTCCTCTCAATATGGTAGAACAGGATCCTGTACCAGCAAAGGATTTATTTTTTCACAGTTTAAGTTTATTTAGTCAAATTTGTAATCCCACCAGCAAAGAGTTAACACACACCTAGTCCCACTGAAGTCAAACAGGTTCCCATTCAAAAGTTACAGTAAGAAGATGTATTTGCTGCTAATTGCTCTTGCAAATGGTAAGAATTTGCTTTTCAAAATTTATAATTCTGGTATATTCCTTTCTCTTTACGTGAGTGTGTGCTCAGACAGAGGCACATATTTCCTCAGAATGTGTTTTTTTTGGTGCTGCATTCAGAAGGAAAAGCAAACCACCAGTGAGATTTATTGTGAATTACTTTGCAAACAATCTTATTGAGTCTTGCTGTGCTAAGGGATGTGTATACACTTGTTCGTTTAGGACAAGGCACTGTCTAAATCTGGGGTTCATAATTGATTGCTGTTTGGCAGAAGCTATTTGGCAGAAATCCTTAAGATCAATCATTTAAAGTTGGGTTAAGTTGAAGTGTAATATATCCTTTTAGGAAGAAAGTAGTATGGTGTTCTGCTTTGGCATTTTTAAACATCAATATGCAGTAAACTGAACTTGAAAATAGCAGGAAATATATGGTAAAAGTATAGAACAAGTTTCTTGTTTTGGATTAAACAAAATCTCTGTTTCAGAAACTGTTAAGAATAATAATCTAAGCCATACATAATCTCCTAAGCATATATTTTATTAACTTCCAACTTAGTCTTCCTCCCCCTCCTCTCTGCTGTGCTTTCAACTTCTGTAGACCTTTCTCAGTTCTGTGTTTCAATACAGCAAGACCTTGGGATACATATTTCATAAGCACCTATGACTTATTAGGATATGCGGTAGTCTAAGACTCACAAAAATATTATGAATTTTAGGTTTCTGAGGTTATTAAACACTTTGGTATACTTAGCCCAAGTCTCTGAAACAAAGGCTGACTGATTTCTACATTCCACTAGCATGATAGAGACCTATTCCTGGCTGGAGCCTCTTAGCTTAACAAATAATAATTCAAGGTCACTGTTGGCCTTTTCCAATTACCGCACTAAAGCAGATAGTTCAAGTTAAAGAGCAAGTTAATTGATACTCTTTGAACCAGAGCTTATGATGTATATTTCAATATCTAGTGTTTTCAGAAAGCTTAAAAGCAATACAGTTGTGTTTGGTTGTGAGCAAAACTAAAAATGCCTATTTGAGAGCTTAAAGTATCCTGATATTTAAACTTACAGTAACCTCTCAGTAGCATAAAAATAGTCCTTTAGGAAACATATTCATGTCAGCCACTGCTAAATCTGAACAGAAGGTGAATTCCTTTTAAGCCTCTAGAAATACATCCCTAGCGCTGGCCAACTATAACAACACATCCAGGAAATTAAAGTTGATCTCTGTCTTAGCAAGAGGGGACAAGAAAGGTTGGAAGTCATGAGCTTTTAGAGAGGTGAGCTAATTCCTTCTTGCAGTTAGAGGGTCCGAGCAGTCTGCAGCAGTGGCAGTGTAAAAGGATGAGAGATGATTTCTTCGATAAACTATTGCCAAGCCATTGAAGTTGATGGCTAAAGAAACCAGTGCCTTAAACTCCATCTAAAATCTACTAGAACACAATGAAAAGCTTTAAATATCATACAGATCTAATGAGGGAACTGTTGAATTCACACTATTGCAAAATGTTGAATACATGACAGTATCTTTGTCTTCATGCTGGCACAGTGATGAAGAATAGAATATTCTAGAGAAAACAGCTTATCCAGCTAACCAAGTTCAAATTGTAAAAGATCAGTTTAGTTACCTTGCTGAGGGTGGCATTAAACTCTTTAAAAAAGACACAGTTCTCAAGGAGAGAAATGCTTTCATTAGAACAAATCTACCTGTAACGCTCTCAAGCATCAGGCTTTTTCCAACACGCTTGTATCTTGCACATGCAGTCAGGCTGCCATTCAGGCATTTAAATGAAAGGATTATATTTTCATGTGACCAGCACCCATCAGAATTATTTTTCTCTTGGGGAATTGCTGTCCACTGATCTATTTTGAAAATTTGCATCCTCATTTCATTTTATGTGCCTGGTTGGAAGATTTTGTGTGCTGAGCATTTTTGCCAACTCTAGGGTCTTGTAACTGTAGTCAGCATGCAGTTGAGAGGGAATATTTGCATCTTATAACAGAGAAAATGTGCAGTGAGGTTTCTTTAAATGATAAAATGTAATAAAATTATTATTAACCCTTTTTTGTTCCCTTTAATATTTCCTGGAGTCAATTATTAATACAAAACCATTAATAACCTGAGAAATGGCATCTTGCTCCCTGTATCACCTTGGCTTAGCTCAATCCTTAGAAAACAGAGGACACCGGAGAACTGAATAGATCGTTGAGGCCATTCATATTCATGTAAATTATTGCTTCAGAACATTTGGAGACTGAGTGATCATTACTAATGTGCCTTATTTTGTTGCTATAGGTGGTTGTGAAAAAGGCATAGCCCCAGTATTGGTATCAGAGCTTAGAAGGCAGATTATAAAGCATAAAAATCACATGCTGATGCAGTTGTGGTAAGGTATTTGGTGAAAAGACTGTGGATTTGTGCCTATAGCTCTGAACTCAGATTGATAGAACCACTCTGAATTCTGTTGAAGATTTCTGAGGAGCCCATCTGGATGGCACAAGACATTGTACAAGATATAAATAAACAAGTCACCTTGGGATTCGTAATTTAATTTTGCTTGGTGGCTATAAAGTGTAGGAACCCTAATGTTTTCCTATTGCCTTTGTATTTGATAGCAATTTTGCGGTTTGAAATGACACGCCAGTGTTATGTCATCTTTTGAACTCCAGAAATGATCTTTCTGATGCCAGCAGTAAGGCTTTCCTGGCATGCATCTACTCCTGGCAATGGGACGTGTGGTGACTGCCAGTACCAAGGGGTTAAGGAGCAGTGACAATAAGCGGATGCTAATGCAGGAAAGATATTTTAGTCTTCTCATTAAAATAAGTCATTTCACTGTCTTCATGGATATTTGCACAGTTTTGCTTTTCCATTGTTAGTCATAAAAGGTCAGTTCATGGAAAATTAAGTTAATAGGGTCAGTGCAATTTGGTGAAAACTAGTTTTAGTTTGTAGCTTAGAAAAGATAGAGGGTAATGCATCTGATTTTATGGGCTTTCTTACATCTGTTCTGAATAAAACTTCTGCTCTCTTGTTCTAGGATACATATAATAACCCTATAATTTACATCACTGAGAATGGATTTCCCAGAGTGACCCTGCTCTACTTGATGACAGTCAATGATGGGAGTATTTCAGGCTGATTTTACAGGAAATTTTAAAAGGTGATATTTAAAATTATGAAAAATCAATTGTGCAAATTTAATATAATTTTACTTTGTGCTTATTTTCATTCAGCAACGACCAATGATTCTTGAAGTTAAAACTTCTGTAAATCAGAGTAAAGTGATGTGATTGGAAACAATGTTTAGCTGAAAGGAAAACAAATAGTTTAAATGCTGTCCCACACGTCTTGATGTAGAAACAAATGAAAAGGTGCTCCATATATACATAATTTCTAAACTCAGTTTTGTAAGGTCAAGTTCTTCATTGAGCAAAGCAACCACATTCAGAAGTGCTTATCATTCATACTTCTCATTGTGAAGAATGTAAAGTTGTGGGGATCTAAAAACCTGACCATTGCATCTCATATTATCCTTGCACAATACAGCCTCCCACATACAATGAGGTCTGTGTAACAAATTGTTTCTCTACAGGGCCATTAAGTCATTATAACTCAGCTTCTGCCTTTATGTCAAAGTGGTCAAAAGTGTTCAGCACTGGTAAAGCTCTGTTTTTACGCTTTATCTGTAGTTTTTATATTGGTCCAATTTCCAATCTTCTAGAAATTCCTTCCTTACCTTCCTTCTGTTGGTAGTATTCTCTAGGGGACCCCTGGTGGCCTAGTGGTTAGCATGTGGGACTCTCACCGCTGCGACCCAGGTTCGAATCCCAGTCCCCCCGGGCAGATGGAGCCCGTTAGCCCTGTGAGGCCATCCATCTATGAGAAGGTCACTCTAAACAAACCTACGTCCTGAGGACCTCACTGCCATTGTCCAAGCTTGCTTGGCCCCGGCAGATGAACCTTAGGATTAAAGGGTGGGCTCAGTTCAGCGCAAGCTGTGTCTCACCTAAAAAATCCATTGCGCAGGCTGGAAAGGTAAAAGACCTTTCCCCAAATCTTCGTTCGCAAAGACTGGCCATTATTTATTATAGTATTCTCTAAGGTAATTTACAGAAAGTAGATCTTCTCACTATGTATCCAGTGAAATGTACTTTAAGATGCCAGTTCATTTAGATAACAGCATCCCTGTTGTATTTGTCCAAAGTGATCACAATCATGAATGTCATATCATAGTTCAATAGTTTTTTTGTAGCCATTTTTTCATCGTCATGCTTTTTTTACCTTTGCTATTTATATTCTTTATTTTATACTTACTTCTTTCTTAGAATGTTCACTTAAAAGCTACCTTTCTATCTTCTTCCTTTTTGTTTAAAGTTGCAATTTACACTTGTCATCCATGCCAATTACATATTTTCTACAACTAAGTAGAAGATGCAAAGGACAATTTTCTGACACTGAAACCAACTAGTAGGGCCCGTTTGTATCTGAGGCAGACAGGCCAGTTACCAGCTGTCTTAAGAGAGCGCTTCTGAGGCTGTGCCATATCTGGCCCCATGTCTGGAAATTAGTAGTTGGCATGTGACAGCAGTTTTTTCAAGGAGTTTTACTTATAATTTTGTAGACAAGATATCCGGACTTTCTCTGAAGACGTAAAGAAATGAATAAACACTGGATTCTCAGTGTTTGATGCAGTGGAATTAATTTACTGAATCTAGTTGTTTTACAATGTGCAATGGCTTATCCTGAAGTAAATACTTAGGGTAGGTCTGATGATGGATTTGTTGACACTGTTCTCTTCATGCATAGTAAGGAATGAAGGGGACTAGCTTGGAGATACATGCTTATTGGGAAACCTCAAGAGTTGAGTAAAATTTAGCTTTACCATTCAGTCCAGCAAAGCTTTTAAACACATATGTGGTCTGACTGTTACTAGTGCAACCTTACACAGGTTTTGTTATACATGCAGTTCGAAATTAAGTTGGATTGATCTTTATCATTTTATTCACTGAAAAAACATGGTGGAATGCTGGCTGAAACAGTTCCTTCTATGCAAAGATAATATAGCTATTAAATCCATCAGCTGTAAGGCACTCTATGAAGACATTTCAGTAACATTATCCCCATGTAACTTCTTTCCTACTACTCTGAGTAAACAGTTTGTCAAGGCCACTCTGTGTGTACTGACCCAGGAATGAGCAACCTATTTCAAGTTTTCAGCTCAGATTGATGCAAAGCAGGGTACTCAAAGATGTTCACTTTATTCAATGCTTAAATGCTTAACCATTTATTAAGTGTTACATGAAGCAGAACAGTTTAATTGCTTTGCATTCAGTGTCTACTCTACAACAATTCCTTATCTTTTGACCTAACTTTTGAAATTATTAGTACTGGCTCATTCACGCAACAGGCTCTGAGTCATGGTAGAGGACTTCAGGGATTCTGCTGAGGGATTTGGATATGTCTACTTATTCTTTTTTACTAACCAAGAAATAAATATGCTTCACTACAAAGGAGAGTATATGTACAATTTGTTACTGCACTTGTTAATAAAAATATTTTAGTATGTTTATTGGATTGATACTATCCCCATTTTATCTTCTTTTTTTTCATTAAAAACCTTCCTAGCTTTTAGGATACATGTTTACACTAATTATGTTAATTTTGACAGCCAAAATTTTCAAAATAATAGGGATCTTCCCTTTTCAAGATCTTGCATTTTAGAAAGAGCTATGCTCTAGTAGCCTGAAAGTCAGATACTTCAACACCTCTCAAGCTACATGTCCAAAATTTCTAATATTTTTACTGTCATCAGAACTATTTAAATTACAAGATCTTGGCGGGCAAGAGCAGTCTTGAGTTTGTACATCATCCTTCACCTAAGATTGTGATCATGTATATGGGTAAGTAGTAAAACCTCTGTATGTTACCCCGATGCTGTCACAGAAAATTGAGATTTTTGTTTTTTGGTTAGTTAACAAGACCAGAAAGAGCAATATAGATACAAATTAGAAAACAGAGAGCGAACAGCATGCAGCTACTATAAATCACATCATTGCTATTATAGATGGGTACAACTGCTGCCATGTTGCTTCTGCAATATATGAATAGATAAAAGCATCAATATTTTAATAAATGTGGATATACATATTTAGCACCTCTACAGAGCCATAAGCATGCATGGTGCTTTACAGATAAATGAAAGTGATGTCTTCTTACCCCAAGGAACTGAAAATCTAATTTAGATACAATGCATGAAGAGATGATGAACAAAAAGCTGGATGAGAGGTAAAGAGAGAACATAGGTCAGAATAGTCAAATGGTTTTTACTACAGTTGCTCTTCCTTAATTTTATGTAATTTGTGTTAAGCATGACATCTAGACCAAAGATCAATGCTACCAAAAAAAAAGTAGTTTAAAGTATTTAGTTTTGAAAAGTGGAATCTTCTTAAAGAGATAATGTAGTTTCATGAAGTCTATGGAGGAGAGCGGTGCAAATATGGGTAAACTATTGCCAGAGGCAGCTGATGGAGAAAAGAAATGAAGGTATTTCATAGTCTGGCCGGTAGAAGATTATTAATAATTCTGATGGGGAGGGAAGAATGAATTAAATAAGTTTTAGGTTGCAGAGGGCTGCAAGAAGTAGGCATTGGAAGTTAGTAGAAATAGAAAGTAAAGAATTTGAGGATGATGTGATGTGATATGAGCAGAGGCAAATAAAAGGGAGATGAGCAAGAATAAATGTGAACAAGCAGGACTAGATTTGGAAGTAAATAGGAAACATATGAACATTTAATTTGGAGTCAGCTAGAAGGTCAGCAGTAAAGGATGCAGGGCAAATAGGAGAAATGATTGTGAGCAGAAAAGGATGGGTAAACCTTAAGATTCAGATGGTGTTAATTTTCTCCTTAAATATGCTTGAATGAAGCAGAAGAGAAAATGAGATACAGAGAATGCTGACTGCAATGGGAAGTGCAGAGCAGAACTAAAACTGACAGTAAGCAAGGTGGTGCAGTTAAGGAAGATTTTTAAAAACTGAACTTTAAGTTAAATGCAGTTCCTTCTGGATAGCTTTTTGTGCTCTTTTTCCCTCAGACTTCTTAGAATTGTTATAAAACCTTTTATATCTTTTCGTCACTGTACACTTGGAGCTCACTCTCATGAACTAACCATTTAGTCTGTGTTGTAGATATGTACAAGCCTGCTTTTGCTGCATTACCATGCACATAAAACAGTGAGATTATAATGCAATACTGTAGTCCATGAAAATATGATTTATTGTTAAATTAAATATGGATGTCATAATGTGAGCCCCTCGGGTCAACTATAAGCTTGAATGTTATTGAAAGAGCTGCAGCAGCAGCTCTGTTTCTTCATTGCCACTGACAAAAATGCCTCTACAAATAGAATACAACAATGCAGACATATTAAGGAGTCTGTGAGATGTGCTGTCCCTGGTATAACATTGCCATGTGACATTTTCAAGAACTATAAATACATTGACTGCATTATACTGTAAAAGTTAAGAAGCTTTGCAGTAGTCACTGCAGAAGCATTAAAATCAAGCTGAATTTATTGAGAATACTACAAGGGATTCAAAGCTTTTAAAAACCCAAACCAACCCCAAAAAAATAAACCAAGAAATATTTAAAATCATAAAGATATAGAAAGGATAGGACAATATTTTTATCAGGTTTTAGCATAGTTTTAAAAGGTCCAGAATACACAAGTAAAATTCAATAAAGTTCCAGTTACATGCCAGTATTAAAAGTTCCTATCATGACAATAACAGCCACATATAATTTCTTGGGAAAAATGTATGAGGCCACCTTACACAACAGAAATTGCGACTTTGTAGCAGTATTTCCTCATTACTGAAATTTCAGACCTCATTTTTTCACATTAATCCTTTAATCTGAATATTTTAACCTGCAAAAGTGAGACTTTTTTTTTCAACTCTTAACCAGCAGTTTTCCAATGCAAAATTATGAAGGAACAATTTCTTTCTCCAAAATGACCTGTAATCTGCCTTCACAAGTATCTCCAGTGAAAACACAGTAGTGAGCTCATGTTGGGAAAATTTCTACTGGAATTAGGGTATTAGAAGCCAGGTTAGTACAACAACAGAAGAAGGTCTCTGAAACAAAGATATGTGAGTGAATTTTTTCCTTGCCAGTGTCTTAATTTTGATTGAAAAAATATTAAATTAAAAGGCAGATTATGCAGTAGCTGGTAGATGTCTACGGGTTGATCAGA